TAGCTTCCTCAGATGTGTGCTGTACTGTGTAGTTAAGCAGAGTTCAGCCAGGGCTAGTACATGTACAGCTGCACCAAGACAAGGCTCTATCTCTGACTTCCAAAGAATTGGCTCTGGTAAATTTAAGTAATTGCAGGAAGGGTAAGAAATCTTGAGGGACTGTCAGGAATGTCTGAAGTGTGGAAAGATTGGGTCTGGGGAAAAAAAAAAAAAGGCATTATACAAATAGGTAAAATAACACTATCTGTCCATAACTGAGAGCTTTCCTGAGTATCTGAAAGGCTCAACTCTCAAAGGAGGGAGATAGTCTGAAATCAATGGCACTAAACTAATTAACAAAAAATGTAGCCTGCAGGTAAATTTGTAATTATTACCTATCAAATTAGAATGGTTTCCTAAAATGTGATGAAGAAGCCATGTTACTTGATAAAGTAATGTAAGAAAAACTGTCGAGAATAAAAGTTGAAAGAAAAGAAGGGATGATAAAATCTCATTGATTAGACCACACTATCAATAAGCTACCAGGTGCTTGCTGTCTCTGATTTCCAAGAGTGGTGTTTGGCATTAATAACATACTTGTTACTCAGGAATCAGTTCTTCCTATGCTAACTAACACAGTAAAGAAAAAAAAAATCAGAGGCTTTGGAAAATTCTTCCCTATTCTGTTTAAAAAAACTACCCTTGATAATTTGCAGTTAAACTGATATGAGGTGTTTAGATTGGCTTTATTGGAAGTGGTATTTCTTGGGGCCCAACTGAGCGTCAGACTGTTTCCACAACGGAGATGAGTACTCTCTGTTCAACTTTATCTCCAGGGCTGACTGGCTGAAAATTTCATAATTACTCATTTTTTGGTTTAGATATGAGTTAGGGTTATTGCACTCACATCAAATGGAAATTATAGCTGCTAATCACATCATGTTGAGTGTTGTTTATCCCCAGACTACAGCTGTCAAAATATATCTTACAACGTTAGATCTGAAGAAGCTGTCTCTAACAGTTGTAGTATGTATTAGTAAATGCTCGGATTTTTACTCCCTTGTTTGGGAAGCCTCTTCTGGCACAATTGGAAAACCTCATTAGAAGTCAGCACTGAGCTGTGATTTTCAGATTACGTACACGAGGTTCACTGTATCTCATATCCTAATAAAATATTTGCCTTCCCTTATTAGTAATGCCACATCATTCTTGTCTGAGTTTTAACAAATTGTAAAATTCCTGCATTTTACTGAGGTTCATTATTGCCAAAAAAAACCCCATAATACCACTTAGATCCTACAGAGCATCTTTTCAATGTGTGGAGCTGCTTCTGGAGCTACACACCTGAGTCCCTTTGCTCTGGGCTCTTTGGATGATGTCTCTTTAGAAATAATACAATGCCTGATCTAACGGGAGTGAAAATCTAAGTATCCTACACATACTGGCAAGATGTCTTTTGGGGTAAAGTATTTTTCATGCAAGTAAATAAAAGTGATCTTTAGTACATAAAGACAAGGTACTTCCTTTGCCTTCTCGACTGTGCAGCCCGTATTCAAATGAGCATGCACAATTTATGATCTTAATCAATATGTACCTCAGTTTCTTGGAAACAGCTTTGAGATGAAAGCCTGTTGACACTCTGTAATTGTTACCAATGTGGTACCATTCTATTTTAGCTTTTTTAAAGGCTGCATAAAGAAGATTTGGGAGGGGGAAGGCCAAAAAATAGGGCAAAACAAACAAAAAGCTGTAGATGACCTTAGTGTATCAGGATGCCAGCATCTCAAGTGCCTAGATTGTGAAAGATGTTGCATAAACTCTCTGCTGTGAGTGGGGATGGAAGATTATTTCAAGTTCAGATAAGGTAAAAGACAAAAAGATGAAAAGTAACCAGAACAGCAAGTAAAACAGAGGTTTCAACACTGAGAAATGTACATCCTTGTCCTGGGGAGCCAGTGCAAAGTGTTTTCTGTCCCCATTTAGGTACATAACATCAAAAGGCTGACAAAGATATACTGGGCTCCTTTCTGCAAGGAGGTAAGAGTCTCTCTAGATGCCACAATCTCTAGCCAGCACTCACCCTGCCTTGTAGCTGGACCTGAAGAGAAGAGCACTTCTGAAAACAAGAAATGTCTGATAACCTAATGTTGTATTGTCATATAATATTGGCCTGAGGGACTTCCCCGTACAGGACACAAATAGGAGTGCCACAGACAAAACTCAGAGACTTATCTTTACAGCACACTTCCTCTTCCAGCCAAGGCAAATGTTGGTTTAGTGCTCTTAGCCTCTAATCTGCCTTCTCAGAAACGTGTCATTGTGTTCTCTTCTTCTCTTAGTGATTTGCTTGCAGAGAGAGCAAGCCTGGCACTGGCCAGGTCTCAGGGTACGGGGCTTTTCTAGCACAGAAGCTATTCTGCACAGACTATCACGGGGTTTGACAGGGAGGGGTGGCATCTGGGGCTCTTTTGGTTTGCCATAGGGGACTCTGTACTTATCAGCTGTGTGAGCTTATATAAACCTTGCCGTTGTACCACTTGGATTAAATACAAATGCAAACCACCTGCTGTTTTGCAGCCTGAAGTGTGAAGAGCACTCTGGCTTTTGTCATCCAGTGTTCAAAGCCAGAGAGGGTGTCACTGTGACTTCTGAAGGACTCACAGCCAGACTTGGTGACAGTGGCACCCTCTGAGTCATTTCTCTATTTGAAAGTGTTTTGCGACTTATTTTGGAAAGATGTGGGGTTGTTTGTCCACTCAGAGAGTCTGATTCAGGCCTGTCAGAGAGAAAAGTTCTTCTCCATGTGTAAATTTATCTAATATTGAGTCTCCTCTGCTTATCATCTCTGTTTTCTTAGAGCATAATTTTTAGAGGCTGTAGTCCATCAGCTGAATATCTGCCAACAAGCAGCATAGGTTCAGATCTTTATTTTTTGCCTGGGGTTAAGTCAAGTAGAGGATCTTTAATTGCTGGCTACTGGTTGAAATACAGGCCTTCGCTATTGCCTGCTGATAAAAGCCAGATGCAGTTTCATCTGAAGCTGCTTCGTATTATCATCTTCCATGCAAGGGAATTTCTACTCAGCTGAAGCATCCTAAGGACCTTCCTTCTGTGCCTGATCACAGGTGGGCTGATGGCCACATTTTAGGGTTGGCTACCCAGTGGGCAACAGAGCCATAGTATAAAGATCACAGGTCTGTAAATGATGACATGCACAGGCAGTTTATCTCTCAAACAGTGCATGTCAAAAGGGTTGTTATTTGGTGAGAAAAGCCATGTTTTGCTTTTATCTATTAGTCTCCCAAGAAAGCTATCTGATAACAGAGCTAAATTCAGAAGAGTCCATGGCTGTGCAGTTCTTAACATTCCCTTTTCACAGATCACCATTAAAAAATAAGGAAGAATAAATTAAAAAAAAATAAAAAAAAAGGCAGAAGAGATTTCACAAGCAAATATTCATCCCAGAGCCTGTGAATTAATCAGTAAAAGGATGATTTTGTTCCAAGCATTGATAAGTTGTCATTATAATTCTAAGAGCATTTCAACAGCCTTTCACCAGTTGTATCTCCGAGAGTCTTGTGACTTGTTCATTGGAAAAACTGTACCACGTGTGCGGCTGTGCTGCTTTTACAAGATAACGAGGCATCAAAAGATGCCAGGCATCGTGCCAGGTAACGGAGCCATTAGAGCAAGACGACCGCAGCGCTTCTGCCTGAACGCCTCTGCTTGTTTCGAAATCATCAAATGGTCACAGCGGTGAGCAGATCTGCCTCCTGTGAGGGCTGCCTCTGCAGAAAGCGTGATCTGCTGAGATGTGTGACCCTGGAGTTAGAGGGAGCCATTAACTAACTCTTGTGGTGAGAGAAGGACATTAAAGAATTTCAGATCAGGCTCAAGTGATCGAACATGGGTGAAAAAATAGGTATTCGTATAACTACAAACAGAAGGTTATAAGAGGGTATTTTCTACTACTTCAGTGGTACGTTAGAACTTGCTTATTCAATATTTTGCTAGTTCTTAGAATAAATGCAGATACCTCAGCCTGCTGCCAGCAGAGCATTAACTGCTGGCTTCTGCAGTCAGCTGTCTTTATTCTGAAAATGTTTTTTTTCTTTCTTGTTCTCTTCCCCTCCAATTTCAAGTAAATATTTGGTGAGTGAGTTTATATGCCATAATTCAGTATTAGGACTAATAAATTACATCTCTTAACTCGGAGGATAATGTAGTTCATCTGTATTTTTTCCTTTTTGGGGAATCTGCAAAGGATATTCCAAGTCCAGTTTATTTTGGGGCACTTTATAGACCAGGTAAACTTAAAACATTGGGAGAACTGCAGATGCAAATGCCAGCTTGCTTACAAGAGTAACAAGAGGATGAGAAATAAAGCCTGTAGTCAACCCCCTTGAGACAAAACCAGTGAAAACCCTCAAAGCAATCCCCCCATTGAGACAATAACGCTCACAGGAAAGAAATAGAGCAAGAAACTGTAACAGATCTTAAAGATCTCCTTGTCTTTACTTTCTTCCTGCTTTGCATTGCTTTGCTTCAGTCCTGCTCCGTGTTACAGAGCTGTACAGAAGTACTGTACATCTATAAAAAATGAATTTATTAAGTCAGTGGTTTCATCTTATCTCTGTAAGATGTGTGTACAGCTGTCCCTGTACACAGTGATATATTCATAGAGTACAAGAATAAAGTTACACTTGAGAGAAAAAATTGATTTCAAGTTCAGTAGCTGGTGCTGGCACCTGGCCTCCTGCCTGAGAGGGTTTGTTGCTGTGCTTGCAGGGTGTTAGTGTAGGTGATATTACTGACATAGTTGGGCTACTCTGATTATCTCAGTGTGAAAATTTTAAATTGGTATAACTGAGAAACATAGTGCAGTAGATGATGGCTTTTGCATTTACTTTAAAGCTTTAATTTTGGGTTTATGAGCTCTTCACAGAGTCGACCAGCTTTTTAAGATCAATTTTCTGGGGCTGCAGTTTTAAACTCTGCTTTAAATTCCACTTCTGAGCGAAATGAATTGCATGGTCCCTGCTAAGCCCAAGCAGAACAAACCTGTTGGACCACTTAATGAGTGGGTAGATGTTGCCTTGAAGGCAGGTGATAGGATCCAGCATCCCGATGTCAGCATCATCACTTCTATTAAAAGAGAGAATGGGCCATGGCCACAGCCATCCATTAACTTTCAGGAGATGTGGTTTGTAAGACATGTAAGCCTTTGTGTGCCTTTGGGTTTCAGGGAAACTTGAAACACTTGGGGAGTGTGGAGCCAGGGGCCCTTTCTGCACCCCAGGAAGCCTCTCAGTCCCAGGTCCATCTGCTTCCTGCCTCAGCCAGCCAAGGGCATCCTGGACCTCCCATTCTGGTGGCCTGAGGTGCTACAAAGACCTTGCCCCATGCTGGTCCCTTCACTCCGGCATTCCCTGAAAGAGTTTAAATAAACAAAAAAGGAAAGGTTGCAAGCCACGGCTGCTCATTCACAGAGGATGTGTTGCCTGTCTCTCATAGCCCATGGTGCATTATTCCTGTGACATCATTATGCAGGTAGATGATACAGACCAAAGAAATCAGAATTATGACTTGTGACGATTGCTCCCCAACACCTCTGACACCACCAGGAGCAGTACGCAAGTTAAAAGAGAATACTATAAGCCCTTTCAGCTTCTGCCTCCTTAGAAAGTAACATTCACCACACTCAAAAGCCTGCTGGTTTTCCTCCTTTAGGAGTCAACGTGCTCCAGAGGAGACTGTGAGGACATCAGTAGAAAGCCATCAACCCAAATGGTTGTAGTAGGTCTGTTATTATAACGTGTGCATCCTGGCTTTGAAATGTGAGGTAGCTGAAGGCTCTACTTGATTGACATATTTCTTGCATACGCTCATGCTGGTTTATGTGTTCGGATTTCCGTTTGCAAAAATGTTTTGGGGCAGACACAGGGTGGTCTCCTGGGATAACAGCACTCTCCCTGTGGTGCTTCAGAAGCAGGATGCCAGCTCACGTTCCTGGGCAATGCATCTTGTGAGGGTTGACCACTCTGGTTTGGAGCGGTCCAGCTGGAAGAGTAACAAGACCACAATAATTGGCTAACTTTCAGCTCTACTGAAAAGTCAAGGAAAAAACCACCCCCAAACACCCCAACAAACGGAGATCAGACTGGTGCTAAGGAGGGACTGGCAATAAAGTGGGTAATTATTGAAGACTTGGTGTTCTATAAAGGGTAATAATGCATTGTCCAGCCTCTTTATGATAAATCCTAAAACTTCAGTTTGTGTGTATGCTTCAAAATACAGCTACGTTAGATATAAGTGTAGAAGAATGTAAATGTTACACAAACCTTAAATAATAGCCAGAGCAAAGCAGCAGAATGAGAGACCATCTCTGTTTGTTCACAGTGATGTTTCCCTGAAATACTGAGGGGAAAAAAACAACCCAAGCTTATTCTCACACAGCTGCATTGTATATGAAAAAGGATGAAATGACAACTGTGTGTTTTGGAGTTGAGCAAATCCTACAACAGTTTTATCTTATTTAATTTGTCTTTCCTTGGCAGCAGGGGATACATACCACTGACAAAGCAATGAACTTTGGAAGAAGATGGGGGATATGGCGCAGCAATAGCTGTAGCTGTTCCCAGGGCATGTAAGGGTCCAATTCAGTTTAAATTGAGGCATGGGAGGACCAAGAAGTTGACCATGCACAGGAGCTTGTGGCTCACCCCTTGTGGTGGGAGGTGCAGATGCCGGGCTCAGGGGATAACACGTCACCAGAGGCAGGATGAGGAGCAGCTCTGTGAGTAGCTGGTGCTGGGGAGAGGGGGAGTTTAACTGCATTGCTCATGCACGTAAAGGAAGAGGTGATTGCTAATTGTGAAATTCCCGTGAAAATCATGCTCTTGTATTGCTGAGCAGCATCTCGTTACATCCTGTGTGCACAGGGAAGCTAACATACAAAGGAAGGATACATATTCGATATCACATCTTGACTGTTTTTATAATAATACTTAAATGCCAGCACTTGCTGTGCTTTCTAAATGTTGATCCAATTTATGAGAGCTTTAAGAAAGTGTGTGGGTGGCTGATCAGCATGATTTTTTATTTATTTATTTTATATGAAACAATGTTGTCATTTGCCAAATAAAAAGGAATGATCCTACATATTTCTACTCCGTTGGGTTTTTAAGAAAAAAAACAAGACAGATATGTAAGTTGAGATAGCTATGCGTATAGGCTACATCCCTACTCAGTGTGTTTTATTTAAAACCATCCTACATTCATGCTAACAGAACATTATTAAATTATTATTAAATTTCTTCATTGACTTTCTTGTAAAATAAACTAAAGTGTTCAGACTACTTTTTAGTACACACAATTCTGTACCACAAAATGTTGTAAATATCACGATGGTCCAAGTGGCCCAGAGTGGCTGAGGATACAGGCTTTCATGCAGTCATATGCTTAACTATATACTTCAGGTTAAGCCTATGAGTCATCCTGCCTTTTAATTAGCAAGTCCTTAAGTATCTGAATGGTCACAGAAATTCACTTATCCTTCTTTTCTATCTTTCCTGATAGAAGCCTCTAATTAGTTATGGTGCTGATCAGAATTCTTTTTCTTCTCTGAACTTCAAGAGAAGATACCTACCTGCCCTGAGGAACTCCTGTTTTAAGGACAAAAGGTTGGATTTGGAAGTACTGCTGCTGGGGTAGAGATTGTCAGAGCCACATCTCATCACAGACATGGCCAATGTTCTTAATCAGAGAAATACAGATTTTTCTCATATTACTCTCACATCTGCTATTTCTAATCACTAATATAGTGTCTCAGCACAGCCAGGACTGGGAAAGGATGCCCACCCTGCCTCGTATCTGCTGGATTTTGGGTAGGAACTGCCTCTGCGTCCTCCAACAGCCCCAGGTGAGCAACTTAAATAAAGTTGGTATGTTTGAAAAATGAACATTGAGAAACCAGACTGACAGAGAAAAATGCCACAGCCTTAACTGCGTCTGCCGGGCGGTTTTACTTGATGCCAAATTAATTTAAAAGACCTTATGACTTAGTGTCAGCTCAAATCTCTGTCCCTAGCATCAGTGCCACATTTGGCAATGGATCACCATCACCAGGAGAGTGTAGCTTCTGAACTGCCACTTCTGTTTTGTTGCCTGCAGTGAAATATTCAGAGAAGAGACTGAGAGGTCAGCCTTAATGTAACCCCAGTCTTTCTCTGAATGAAATTGAAGGTGCACTTGTATAATTACATTTCCATCGCATTTTTAAATAATCAGTACTGTGGGTACATCAGTTACAAAAATTCCATGACTATAGCTCCTTAGAACACAAGAAATCCGTACCAGCAAGTACTGCATAATGGAATTTGATAGAAAAGCAATGTGTAATGTCATTTTCTCTACCAATATAGACAACAGCACAGAATAGAAGATAAAAGGAGATGTAAAGAACCAGTAATCTTCTCATAACTATGTCTTCTTTTTAATTGCAATGTATATGACAACCTGTGAATACTAGTTGAAAATATAAAAGACTAAATGATCAGCATGTGAAGTAAAATGTGACTTTTCAATTGCATGTAGTTGACAGTAGTTCAAGTTACTAATTTGCATTTGGAAGCATTTTTTCCCCAAAAAATGTGTGTCGGAATGAAAACCATTCTTCTTGGGATCTACCAGCTAACCCAACTGTGACGTCTACACAGAATAGATCTGGGTCTACTCACAAAATAACTAAAGAGAAAAAAGTGGATTTCAGCATTTCCATTTATCTGTAAGTATCCTTGCTCATGGAAGTATACATTGAAAGCCTATTGACTTTTAAAATTGCAAAGATCTCATCCATTACTGAGTTGATAACTGCAATGGTTCTGGTTGGTGCCAACACCTTACTTCCTAATCATACTGGTTGTCCAGGTCTGTGTGAAACCAGGAAGGTTTTGCACAAACAGCTGCAAATTAATGAGAATTCTGAGTGTTTATTATCCCTCTTTTAGACTATGACAAAGAGAGCAAGAATGGGGTTTTTTTTTGTGAAAAGGAGGAGGATTTCTGTCATTCTGTCTAAATGCCTGTGGATTTCCAGTGATTTATTGCCTGGTACATCTGCAAACAGAGCTTCCCAGAGCCTGAAATTCTGATTTTGTTCAACCCAGTAAGGCTGGATGCTTGCTCCAAATTATGTCTACTCCGGCATTAGATATTGATTAAAGTTTATCCTTATATAAAGCTTCTATGGTCTTCTTAATGTGTGACAAAGAGAAGAATCTTTGTCGGTAACTTGACCTTATCTCCAGATCTAGCTTACACTAAAACAACCAACTGCCCCACTCCTTCCACTCTGCTTATTCTCACTCAAAAAAATAGAGAGCAAACCCCTGTTGTGGGTTGAGGCAAATCAGAAGAGCTTTCTGAAAAGGACTCTCTGAACCAGGCAAGTCCTCAACATAAGCACTGGTGAATTTCATTTATAACACAGTTGACTTCTGCAGAGATTGCTTTTAACTTCCTGACCTCCATCCTTGTTGAGTTTCTTCCCTGTGGGGGAGCTTGGGACTATGTGATGTCTAAGATCCTGATCTCATCTGTTCGTCATGACTTGGGGTCCATCATGCTAGCAAAGTAGGATAGCATTTTTACCACTACTTTAAACATGCATGTGCTTTACTTACTACTTTAAGTAAGCATGTGCAACCAAATCATTTTTTCTGTTTCTGTGGTTTTTAACATTCAGAGTATGCTAAGGAAACTGCTTCTCTTTAGCTGAAACAAAGCAGTGCTTTGATTGTTCAGACACAAGCAACAAAGCTAGGTTCTATGCATTGATTTTTTTTTAAGGACTCTGTCTGCAATTTGAACTTCTTCAGCCAGGAAGCGTGCTATTCATTTTTTGAAACCCAAATAAATTCTGCTTTATAAGGAGTTCTTATCTCACCTCATTAGTGGATAAATTGGTTTTTATAAATTTTTAGAAATGGAAAAAAACCCTTTTTTTTGTTTAGTAGGTGCTAGATGTCCAGACTTTAAAGTAATATTAATTTTTACAGAAGACTTGCTTATCCTATGAAGACAGGCTGAGAGATGTCTCCAGGGAG